CAATGTTAATCCGGAGTACCTTCAGGTTTTTAATTATTATTTATGGTCCGATCTATGCAGAATGAACTTACTCGGTCTTGAAGTCTTGCAGTGGTATGCTTGGGTTTAGTTTTAATTTTATTAATTACATAGTCCCAAGCAGGTGCTAGTACCCAGCCTCCTTCTCTATTGAAATTAGGGTGTTTTTTTAATTTCAATAGTCTCACGTATCATCCCTGGTAGGAATCGATGTTCTTTCGCGAAGATTTGTGGTCTATCAAATCTGATGTAATGGTTGGGGCCGCCTAGGATATTATAGCAATAAAAGTTTGAAGTAAAGGATTAAATTTCGCCATTACACCGCGATGAATACCGTATGAAGACATTATCTGTAGTGTTGAGGATTATCTGTATAAAAATAATATTGGTAATGAAGATATTGTTACGAGTTTGAGGTTCGTGACAATTAAAATTGCCGATTGAATTCATCAATTTACACTTTTATTACCGAACACCACTTAAAACTTAAAACACACTAATAATTAATCACACTGAATCACTTTATTTCACTCCGAAGCTTCAAATCAAATCAGTTTATTTTGTGAACATAGGTTATTTTACAGATCTCAATATATGTATGTCATAGTAAAATACAAGGTAGGTTCTCTATGTCCCGCCAGTAGGCATACAAAATATAAAATAGTAATTGTGTGTGTGATTAATTTTTAGGTTATTTTCTTTTAACCAGTCAATAATTGATATAAGACTCTCATTAATTTCACCTTCTATTTCATCATAGTTATTACTATTGTAAATTACAGTGCTGTCATCGGCAAATAACGACATTTGGTGTCTTGTACAATTTGGAAAGTTATTTATATAAATGATAAAAAGGAGAGGGGCAAGTACTCCACCTTGAGGAACTCCGTATTTAATCAATTGTGTATCAGAAGAGTATATTTTTTCGATTTTCGACTTGATATCTATTCGGGTAATTTGTGTTATTTGTTTTCTGTCTTTTAAATAAGATTTCATTAGACTATGCACATTTCCCATAACTCCATAGATGTATAATTGGTCATTAGTAGTAGATTATGATCTACATAATCGAAGGCCTTAGTCATATATAAGCTTCGCTTGTCTTGCCAAAATTCAATACTTCCTCGATCGCATCTCGCAGCGCCTTTAAATACACATTATCACCGAAACATCCAGAATATTCAAGTAAATACGCGCGACAATCGACCAGGCGCCGAAAGTTCGAGTGTAGAGCTTTTAGAAACCTTAGTTCTTCATTTCGATACTAGATGGCGCTGTCGGTTGAAAGATTAGTGATGTCATTTTAGGTACGGGCCGTCCCATTTAGCTTGAAGCTTATGAGATTTCCTTTTGCTGCGGACTGGATTGTGCAACCACACTAGTGAACCTTCGTCGAACCCTTTGTTGTTCATTTTGCGGTCATACCGGGTTTTCATCTTTTCGGACATTTGCTGGCCCGATTGTCTGACGTGCATTTTGTTCCACAAGTCATTTGCATAATCGGTTATACTGCGTGGGGCATCCCTTGATCAGGTCTGCAGGCAGCCGTAATTCTCTTCCAAAGATTGCGAAAGCTGGTGTCACTGCTGTACTTTCGTGAACAGCGCTTCGATATGACAACAAAAACGGTTGTATGTGCTTGTCCCAATCTCGTTGCCGATTGTCTACAACTTTGGCTAGGTACCTCTTCAATGTCTGATTAAATCGTTCGACCATTCCATCAGATTGCGGGTGATAAAAAGTCGTTCTTGTTTTATGAGTACCCATAACTCGGCAAGTTTCCTGGAATATTTGAGACTCAAAATTCCTTCCTTGATCGCTGTGAATCTCTAAAGGTACTCCAAAACGACAGAAGACTTCATGAACTAGTTTATCTGCAACTGTTGAAGCTTCTTGATTTAAAATGGCGAAGACTGCTGGCCACTTAGTGAAGTAATCCATCACAACCATGAAATACTTGTTACCGCTTTCACTCTCCGGAAACGACCCCGTCACGTCAATGGCTATTCTCTCCCATGGTGCACCAACATTGTACAACTTCAATGCACCTCTATTACGAGTCTGAGGTCCCTTTACAGCCGCACAACTTGTACATTTGCGACACCAATCCTAGGCATCGTTTCGACAGTGGACTTCAGACTTCAGGACAAGGTCTTCTTGACAATGCAACAACCGTGCAAGAGGCTCCAGTGTCTATGGTCAGTTTACACGACGTTCCGTTGATGAGTTTTTTTTGTGAGATCGGGATCCTTGGGGCTCTTTTAATATCCGCCAACACCCGCCCCGCAGTTCTGGCTTTTACTCGTTTCCCTGCTGCTGCTGGGTAGTGCTATTGGCAGCACTATCCTCCTGAGATCGTTGACCTTCCCTATCTAGGGTTCGCTTAGGGCAGCTGGATCGAAGATGGCCCCTTTCCCCACGACCATAGCACCTAGGGCTGTATCCTTTATTGCGATCACGAACTGTAGCTGCTGCAACCTCCCTGACGCGATGGGAACGATGATCCTGCCACACGGCTTCCACCTCCAGTGCATGGGCCAAGGCGTCCTTAAGCGTTTCGTGGTGCCCGAGCCTCACAGCAGCTCTGACTTCAAGGTCGCGGATGCCGTCAATGAATGTCTGCACCAGGTTCCCTTCAATGAGCGCTGGTACAGACTGGTGTGCTTTTCGCACCAGTTTCTCCACTTCTAGAGTCCACTGCTGCAGGTTTTCGTTGCTGCGTTGCACGCGATTTCTAAGCAGCGCTCGAAAGACGTGTTCCAGGTGAGCGTCGCCATATCTAGCCTCCAATGCCTCAAGGAGCTGCTCGTAAGTCACTTCCTCACCGAGAGCTTCCAGAACAGTTAAGGCCTGGTCGCGCAGGCCCAGTGTGAAGATATGGCCTCTTATTCCAGCCGTTCGCCTTCATAACAGCCTCGAACTGGATTTTGTAGGCTGCCCAGGAAGAAGTCCCGTCGAACGGCGGCACTTTGAATCCACGTACTGAAGGTGTTGTAGCTACTACGGGAGCTGTAGTTCCATCCCCCAGTTTGAGGTCGTCCAGCGTTTTCTTCACGTCAGCCACCACGTTGTCAACCCGATTGTTCACTTGGTCGATTTGGGTTTTAGCTTCCTTGATTTGGGTTTCAGCTTCCGACAGGCGGTTGTCATGTTGAGCAACCTTATCCTTCACCTCCCTTATCACTTTCCCGAAGGTAGCGTGAATGTCCTTCATGAGGAGCATCTGCTCTTCCTTATTGCGTTTGAGCTGCTCTTCCAACCGACGGGCCTCTTCCTCCTGTCGGAGGGCCTGTTCCTCCTGCTGCTCTTTCAACCATCGGGCCTGTTCCTCCTGTCCGCCCCGCAGCTGCTCTTCCAAACGACGGACCTGTTCCTCTTGTCCACCCCGCAGCTGTTCTTTCAACTGACGGACCTGTTCCTCCTGTCGGCGAGCCTGTTCCTCCTGTCGGCGAGCCTGTTCCTCCTGTCGGCGAGCCTGTTCCTCCTGTCGGCGAGCCTGCTCCTGCAGCATCACCATCAGTGCACCTAAGTCAGGTGCTGCAGATGTAGGAGCTACTGACGGGCCTGCAGACGACGGCTGGCCCTCCGACGTCTGCGGCGTTGCACAACCAAATCTTCTTTGATCCGTCTCCTGCTGGTTTTTTTATCACACTTCTGACACCAATTGTTACGAGCATGAGGTTCGTGACAATAAAAACTGCCGATTGAATTACCAAAATTTACACTTTTATTACCGAACATCAATTAAAACTTAAAAGACACTAATAATTAATCACAATGATTCACTTTATTTCGCTCCGAAGCTTCGCTCGTCTCGCCTTATTCAATACTGCCCTGATTGTGGCATGTTGCGGGTTTAAATACAGGCGCCGACCGACCAGACGCAGAAAGTTCGAGTGTGGGGCTTCTTTCTTAAGAAAGTTTAATTCTCCGTTCGATACTAGATGGCGCTGTTGGTCGAAAGTCAAGATTGACATTTTCTAGGAAGCTCTCCTCGCTCTTTTCCCCGACACTAGATGGCGCTAGTGCCAGGTACCTGACGTCAACTTAGGCGCGCAACAATATATAGACTATAATTTGAGTATACGCTCTTAAAGTCCACGTATTACGTAATACATTTAAATCAAATTAAACTTCCTCGTTTTATATAATATTATTGCGTAACTTATAAATTCTGCAATATGTCCAGGCAACAACACCAACACTAATTTCATTATTTGATATCCTAGATAAATTCGTCAATTTTAATGTATATTTGTAATCGATTTTTAAATTTGTTTGCACAGATATGTTAGCGAATAGTAGAGCGTTCTTTTTGCAAGAACGTTAGGAATGAAAGTTTGTCTTTAACTTCATTTTATATTATTTTATGCCAAACTTCCAATGAATCTGTAATCCTGTGAGTTACACCTTTTATTTCAGCGTTGACCGTTCAAAGAAGAAATATGCATATGCTTTTTACAGGTAATGTCTACTAAGTAGTATGTTGAGACAGTTTTTATCGTTTCTATAAAAATGACTGTACACAGCCGAGGGAGAAAATCGGAAGAAAATATCGGAAGAATTTTATTTCATTATTTGGATAGATGAACACGCGTTTCCGAGTATCCACCCTTGGGTGGATTCTTTAGGGTGGATAACCTCTAGATACTAGGACAAAAAATGGACCTTACAAACGACAATTTGGTCAGGTCCTATCGGAAAAAGAAGCATAGGGCTACAAAGCGAAAGGTGATCTGACGATTTAATAAAAAAAATTAGCAGAACAAACTGGATAAATGTTGCTCACAACAAACAAAGATGGAAGGAGATGAAGGAAGCTTTCACGCAAGAATCATACAAAAACTTTGACACAAATCTCAATAATCTTAATTTTAAACACTAGACTATGAATATGTGTTATATTATAAATTAAAATAAAAAATTGGTTTGGTCAAATAAAGCTACAAATAAATATATAAACAAAATTATATTTAGCTTACCAAGGACATTAAAAGTATGGAATCTTCGATCTGGTACAGCCATGAGTGGGGTCAAATCCGTGTTGGTAGTAAACCTTGTCAGTATATCCCTTGTCCGTACTAACAAGACAGAAGGCGAAGTGAGCCGTGGCCACAATGTGGTCTCTGGTACGCACTCCACGGGATTACAAAGGTAAACTCCACGTGGGGATACACCGAACACCATCTGATGATGCCAGGCATCGGGAATCTCACCATCACATCCCACTTGTAAATTTAGAGTGAGTATAGGTACAGCGCCTAAAATATAAATATCATACTTTATTTAATAAAAATGGCGTCGACAAATAAATGAAAAATCGAATCAAAGTATCATTTAAAAATAATTATTTACCAAGAGATATCCAATCAGCTAGCCAATGGGACAATGAAACAGCCCGTTCAGGATACATGGGAAAGAACCGAGCTGTTACTAGTCCATCAGAAGCCCTTTGAATACCATTTACTAAATCTGCAGCAGTACAGCCCGCTACAGCACGCGATAATAAATACCTGAAAATGTACAAACAATAAAGCAATGAAACAATCAGTTTGTCCAATCAAATGGTAGTAATATTGAATCCAACTGAAACGTAGCCCACGCTGACGTGATTGTATTACAGTTGAAAGATGCTAGTATAAGTAAATACGTTTGCCCAGTATGTTAAGTATTAGCACTCCTTCAAGAAACACAAGCCATCTAGAAAATTCTTGGAAAAACCAATGTCTAAGTTTTGGAAGGAGGTGGTAGTGGGATGTTCCGAGCTAGAGAAATGAATAGGTTCCATTTTAGGCCGAACTTGAGCCTTATTAAGTTGCAAGCGGTGTACCGTCATGAAATACTGTTCCACTCTACTGAGCACGCCAAGCTTTTTAGAGGCCAATTTGGCTTTCCTTTCTAAATGACCGCAGAACTAAACGTCGATACGTTGACTCCAAGGATTCCGATGCTGACTGAGGCAACAAAAGGACTGTCGTGAAATTCAGGCGATACAACATAGGGGTTCTTTTTGCTAGTAATCACCCAACCCCGTGTCTTCTGAGGATCAAGCTGGAATAGATTTAGTTTAAACAAGTTTCGACCGCAACTGGACGACGTTTTGCCCAAAAATATTACCACGATTGGTTATAAAGCATCACCAGTACTGTCGTCTGCATAACAATGAATACTATTATGCAACATATCACTGATATACAAAAGAAATAGAGTAGGAGAAAGTGAAGAAAAGCGGTAGTACGGAGCCTTGTGGAACATCAGCATTCACAGCCTTTGAGTCCGAGCATGCAGCATCGACTAAGTCCTTGATGAAAAGTATTTTTTTACTATTTGACTATCCTTACTTGAAAATTAAAATTATAGCATAATCTTACTTTTCATGTTAATGAATATGAATGAATTAAAAGGTGAATGAATCGCACCCGAGATGTGCAGCACCGTAATGTTAATATTATCACAGTTTAAAGAGACCTTACAATTGTGAGAAACGCCTTTGATATCAGGCGATGCCGTCGCCTGCGTAGATATTTACAAGGTTGTCACGAAAACGGAAATAAAATAATTTTGGATATTATAATACTCACTATCATTTATTATCATTATGTACATACTTGTAAGTTAAAAACATCATTTTTATTACTACAAGAAATAACACATTTTACAAGTGTTGCGATGCCAAATATTTTTGTAACACTTTCTTTTTACAGACGTATTCAGTTTTGTATTATTAAATTTAACTACGTAGTGTATTTGCATTCGGATAAACAATTTTATCAAAACAAATGAGGAAAACAAAAGCATGGCCGTCATTTATGTTCAATTTTACTTAGTAACTCATATAAATATAAAAGTGAATCAGAAACAGAAATTTATTCAATGTGGATTATAAATAATACTTATTGAAAGTCACTTTTTTTTCATTTACCACTTACCACTGGTTCCCAAATAAAACCACTGTCATGCAAGAAACCCAGTGGGATTATTTTTTTTAAATAACAGCTTACAATCACGTATGTTACAATTAACAACACAAAACTAATTTGAAATAGCTTGGTAACGATCACCCTTCCCAGGGATTATTATCACCTATAATATTCCTTAATATTATAATAAACCTTTTTATACAAACTTAGTTTAAAGTTTTTGAACTTTGTGTATGTCAAAATTTTGTATATTTTCTGGGATTTTGTTGTAAAAGCGTATACATCGCCCCAAGAATGAATTACTGACTTAGTGGAGTCGAGTAACTGGTAGCTTGTGTCTGTTCCTAGTATTTACAAAATCAATATCACTTGTTTTTGCAAAACTAGTTTTATTTTTGTGTACGTACATTTTACATTTTTTACCCTTGGAGGCGGGTTTGCTTCTGGCCGAATGATCTCAGCGTTGTTGCTGATTCTGTCGCTGATGTGGTGCTACAGGGAATAGAACTTTTTATTCCATCATCGGTGGTACCTATCGAAGGCAGAACCCAGCCTTGGTTTGGTCGCTAGTCATAAGCATGAGTGCTACCAGGCCTGGGCTCGCGCATCGACGTCTCGGGATGCAAATACCAGCGCTCTTAAAAAAAGTACAATTCTGCTTCCAGGTCCTTCAAAAGTTTCATTGTAAAGGCAAAGTCAGAGCACATCGCTAGAATTGGTGAGAAACTAGTTCGTCTTCCTTCGGGAACATGTGCGTGCTGGTTTCTCGCCAAGGCTGTCCAAGTGAACTTCCGTCAGCCATCTCTCCCATCTCTGCACAGGTAGGACGACTCATTGACCCATGCCGCAAAGGACAAAGCCGATCTGCTAGGCTCTCTCTTTGCGTCCAACTCGACTCTTGATGACGGGGGGAACACATCGCCGACCATCCCGCGGAGTGAGTGCTCCATGCAGAATTTTCTGTTTACCCAACGCTCGGTGCGCCGAGCACTCCTATCCCTGGACGTCAACAAGCCGAGTGGGCCGGATGGCGTTCCTCCTATTGCGCTGAAGACGTGTGCTCCGGAGTTGACACCGGTTTTAACACGTCTTTTCTGGTACTCCTACTCCCTCGGCGTAGTCCTAAAATCATGGAAGACAGCCCTCGTGCACCCAACCCCTAAAAAATCCCTAAAATAAAAAATAAAAGGCCTATCGCCATCACCTTGTTCTCTAAAATAATGGAATCCATTATTAACAGAAAGCTCATGCGGTACCTTGAAAATCACCAGCTGATTAGTGACCGCCAGTACGGTTTCCGTCGCGGTCGCTCGGCTGATACCGGGATAAACTTGTGTCTGAATTTGTTGAAAAAAGTCTCGGAGTGGGGCGACTAAATCTATTCCAGTTTAATCCCCAGACACAAGTTTGCGCGTTTACCGCAAAAAAAACTCCTTGTGCCTCAACCAGTATTGGAATCCTCGGCGTCGACATGTCGAGTGACGTGCAGCTTCGTGGTCACTTGGAAGAGAAGGCCAAATTGACCTCTAAAAAGCTTGGCGTGCTCAGCAGAGCGGGACAGTATTTCTTTCATGCCAGCTCACCGCCTGCAACTTTATAAGGCGCAGGCTCGGCCGCACATGGAATACTGTTCCCATCTCTAGGCCGGGGTTCCCCAGTGCCAGCTCCTTCCATTAGATCGCATCCAGCGCAGAGCTGTTCGAATCGTCGGCAACCGAGCTCCTTCCGAACGGCTTGACTCACTGGCACTGCGAAGAGATGTTCCATCTCTTTGCGTATTTTATCGCATCTACCACGGGGTATGCTCTGAGGAAAATTGTTCGGACTAATTCCAGCCGCACAATTTCACCATCGCACATCGCGACAAAACTCGCGATACCATCCATACTATCTGGATGACTGGCGGTCCACCACCGTGCGATTTAAAAGAAGTTTTCTACCTCGCACAACTTCCTTGTGGAATCGACTACCACCAGCGATTTTTCCGGACCGATATCGACTTAGGGACCTTCAAGAAAAGAGCCTTCTCCTTTTTAAAAGGCCGGCAACGCATCTGCAATTCAGGTGAACCGTATGCTCGTATGCCTCCTCTCTTAAAAAAAATAAATAAATATGAAATAATTAATTTAAGAGCATCACTTCTTACACCGTAGTGTTGAAGTTTCCTGATTATTGTTTCATGGTGAACACAATCGAAAGCTTTGGATAGGTAACAGAATATACCCAAAGCATCCTGTCAATACATTGAAGATATATTTTCAACACAAGCATCAGTTGTCGAACGACCCCTTGTGAAACCGAATTGATTTTTATGAAGCAAATTATTTACATTAAAAAAATTAACCTTTGATCAAGAATATTTTTTTCAAAAATTTCAAAAAGTATTGGCAGTACGGAAATAGGTCTAAAATTTTACTTTATTATTTATTATAGATTTAATGAAGCATTAAATCAGGAAACACACCAGATTCGATACTAGTATTAAAAATAATAGATAGTTAAGGTGCGATTGTATCTATTCAGTAATTCACTATTATAAATATTATATTTCGAAAACGGCACTTCAAATTAGTTAAATAAGTAAGCAGACTAAGTGACTGTGGTCTCGAAAGTCAAAATGCGAAATCGGTAGGGTTGCCAAGTAAAATCGGTATATTTTGTAAATGAAAAAAAAAACAATAAATTTGATCAAATCTCTTTATTTTAAACTAGGAATGTTATTTTAGTCACTAATGGCATTATTAATACTATTAGCAGTTCGGCGGGTTTACATATCCTAAATACCTACGTACTTAAATTAACAAATAACAATGATTGATTAGTCCAACCTATGAAACTAACAATTAATGGCATGAAATATACCAGACAGGGCGCTCAGAACAAAAGAAATGTAATATCTTTGATAACAACTAAATCAAACAAACTTAAGAATCGTACCACTATTTTTTATAGCAGCTGTCATTTTTGAACTTATTTCAAAATCATAACAATAAGTCATTAAACAGACGTTTTGTATGTAGTAAACCAGTGATTGATTCGGTAAACAATCTATTTAGCTTTTTTTGTTTTCAATAGATTAACGTGCTAGGATATACGCTACACATTTGCGCATGAATGTGTGATAAAACTGTGATAAAACAGTAAAGACGAATGAAGACAACAAAGCAAATATTTGAGTGTCATCGCCATGCTTCAGTTAACTGATATTTTCCCAAAAGAGTTATATGTCTTCAGGAAATGACTTTATTTTTTCACAATTTTTTAGAACACGCCATTCTGTATCAATTTGCTGTAAATGATTGTTCTGAATAATATTGGGAAAGAGTCTAATAAGAGAAACAATCGAAGCAGTTTTGTCGCTTTTAACATTTGTTAGGACAATTACGTCTAGACCTTTTATAGGGTTATTTTTTAATAGAATGTGTGCAGTTATTTGTTTGCATGCTTCGATGTAAAAACCTAGGCACCTGTATTTGAATAAGTTTCTTTAATCTGGGCTTAGATTTTGACTACAAAGTAGCGTGTATTAGATACCGCCGCGCCAAGTATACGGCCTCGATAACCATAGTTTCTAGGATTATTATAATTAACATTTTCAATTGAAGTACTTTTTAAACATTCTATTTTTAAAAATCAATCAAAGAAAATTCGTAATGTTCGACTTATATTTTTAGTTTAAATTATGGCATGAGAAAAAGCGCAGTGTTGTGGGGAATACTAATTTAAATACATGTTTATAAAGTATTCATACTAAAAACTTACAATCATGTGTTTTTAATAGCATGTATATGTTTATTCATTCATTATATTACTTACTAATATTGATTTATTATTCAAAATTGTGGGAAACATATTTGGGCTTTTCTCCTAAATATTCGGATTTTCAGTCTGCATTTCTTTATTTAAATCAACACAAAATACAATAATTCCAAAAATAGCAACGTTTTAGGATCTTGAAGCTTCTGCAGCTAAAAGAAGATCATTTTTAGATACTTGGTCCTCGAAAAATAATTTTAGAGCAATAAATTGTTACAATTCTCTTTCCACTGCTGAATGTAAAGATAACCAGCGTTTTTGTGAAGGGTGAAATATTTTGCGTACAAAGTCACAAAATAGTGGGAATTTCGTTTTGCTGCAACGTTACAACAGAATTATTGCGCACCATCATAACTTTTGTTCCATCAGATGATCAGATGCAAAACCTATTGAATTAATTTTATACAGAATATTAGCCTTTGTGAAAAGTTTACGATGTGATCAAATTATGGATAGTGCATCGGCATTTTCTAATGGACATCGAAAATCGCGTGACTAGACATAAATATATCAGTGGAATCGTCAATAATAAGTGAAAACTTAGTTTTCTGCGGATCTCCACATAAATCTACCTATAATACGATCAATTATAGCGTGAGCCTTACTCGTAGAAGATTTTATTTCCTTCGCAGTTTTGGAATCTGGACAAACGGACTGAATCAGTTTCGGTAGATGCTCCACAATAGTGAACTTTAGATTATGTTCAGCAACGAACGAGGCTAATCTTATTTCACCTGAAATTTAAAAATGATGAACTTCTAGCAGACTGATAGGCAGACAAATTTTCAAGTGTCTACCAACTACGGTTCAAATGATACAGCACTGTAACATGTGGATGGACAATTGGACAGAGAGCAAAATATCAGTAATAGTCCTGTTGGCACTCATTGAGTACGCAGAACCCTAAAAACCATTTACTGCATATTAGTTGATTACAAAAATAATACCCGCAACTATTAACGATAGTGAATAAAAATCTACTTACCTTGTTTAATTTGTATATTAGGAGTTTTTGTCTGAGTAAACAATATCTTAGGTTGTATGTTTATATTCTTCAATGATACTGAATGAGCTTGTGAAGAGCAGTGTTCTTTTAAAGTGTCTTTCCCAGGTGTAATACTAATTTCTTTAATACAACTTTTGCAATAAGCATAATTTGCGCCTTTACGACTTTCTTTTAGCCAACCTGAAAATTCTTCTTCCCATTCATTTCTATAGAATTGCAAGTATTTTTTTTCATTTCGTAAACGTACTTGTACTTGATTCTTCGTCTGACGACATTTTGATTTAGAGAACACAAAACAAACAACTCACCACTTCAATCAAATTTAAGAAAATAAATGAAAAAAGAACTCCGAAGTTTTATTTATATAGACTACAAATTTGCTCAGGAAATCCCCTAAAAAGTAAGTTTTTGAACACAAGGGTATCCCTTAAATTATATCAATTACCCGTCATCGTCGATCGACGTTTGAGCAGTGGGGAAACCCGATAATAGATAAAAATATAGGGATGCCAACTTGAATTGTTGAAAATCGGTATAAAAATCGGAAGAAATTCTTTACATTAAAAAATCGTAGAATAATCGATCCATTTCGGTATTTCGATAGGACAAGCGCCAAATCGGTATAAATACCAAAAATCGGTAGATTCGAGATCACTGCTAAATGAAGTGCACTGGCAAACAAGGCCCCCACCATTACTCTGCAAAAGTACATTCGTTTCCCAACTGTAAGGTCTTTAAACTATGGTATTATGAAACATAACAATGATATGGTAAAAGGAATATTGTAAGCGATAGCACGCAGCCTTGTGAAACACTAGGATTGAGCCCGAGAATGCAGCATCGACTACGACCTTTGCGATTAATATATTACGCACCGACGGAGGAAAGTATGACATCGCAATGGGCGTGATATCGCAGTTGTCTGAACCTGAAAGCAAGGGTGATAAGAACGCGGGTTGCGATGTCATATTTTCCTCCCATTATGCGTATACTATTTATTGTCATAACTTGATCGAAATTAATGTACCTTAAAATGTATCATGACATATATTTTTGATGTTTAAAAACAATACAGCTAGAAATATGTCGCATGTGTACAAAATTAATATGTCGTTGAATCAGGAGGCAATGAGGCACTTACGTCCCTGAAAGTAAGGCCGAAATAAGAACTTTCGATCAAGGTATGATAAAAAAGTATTTAATTACTATATTGTTCTATCCTTACATGAAAATTAAAATGAGCATAGTTTCACATTAATAAAAAAAATCTATAAACTGAGAAACCCAAATTGCATGAGATTAATTTATGTGAACATACATTACCTAGGCAAAGGTGCATTGTTAGCTCTTTGTCTTGTGCCTACAGCAGCATTAATTTTTTCAATATTTACGGGCACGCCTAATGCAATCTGAAAATAATTTAGTTACTTATTATTGTTGACAAATCTATGAATATATATTTTTTATATATTAAGTATACTAGGTATAACCAATGTTTAATTTTCAATCCTTAAGAAACATTTTTATAATTAAATATTAGGTACCTATGAAATCGCCGTTTTTTATGAAATACGATCGCGTTTTTTTCTATTAATAATCATCTATGCAACCGATGCATATTTGCCAACGCATGGCATTTTATTGATTCCCGTCTTGAAGAAATCAGCTGGACGAATATATAATGGAATAATGAAATTTTTCCCGTCAAAAATTATCCAAATTCTGGAATAAGTAGAAATCTGTAGGCGCAAGTGAATACGGCGGTTAACGTGGAGCTTCCAACCCCAGCTCTTGTAACTTGGAGAACGCCTGTTGTGCAGTATGAGGTCGCGCGTTGTCGTGCAGGAGCAGCGGGAACGAGCCATTGACCAAAGCTGGTTGGAGACGTGCAAACTCATCCCGTTTGGTAAGAAGCTGTGATGAATCACACCGGCGCTAGACTACCAAACAGTGACAATAACATTTCTAGGGATAAGTTTTCGTTTAGTGCATTGTTTAGATACTGAACCACGATCCCACCAACTTGCTGAGCGCTTGCGATTGTCAAACAGAATTCATTTTTCGTCGCAGGTAACAATTTCTTTATAGTTTAAGGGTTACAAACAAACACACAGTCCACCTGGTGGTAAGTGGATGCTGTGGCCCATAGACATCGACATTTAACCTCGATTAAGAATGAAAATGCAGATGCGTTGTCATCCTTGAAACCAGAGATAGCAGCATCTTCCTGATAACATCCGGAAAAAAGTGCAGTTGCCAAACCTCCTCCTCAAGGTAGGAAGGCGAATGTGCATCATTTAGAATAGAGAAAAGGACAAGTTATAAATTATAATCTAGAGTTGCGCAATTGCCTTATGCTGAACCAGTTAAGCTGAGATCTATATAAGTAAAGTTACAGCCTATATACGTCCCACTGCTGGGCTCAGGCCTCCCCTCATTTCTGAGAGGGTTTAGGGCAAGGAAGTGTCCGTCGCGCTGCCCAAATGCGTGTTGACGAACTTCACATGTCTTCGTGTAAAATATTTTCTTTTTTTTTTTCTTATTCCTCAGACATGCAGGTTTCCTCACGATGTTTTCCTTCACCACCGAGCACGTGGTAAATCAGCACTTAAAATTGCAATTAACAATTTCATTGGTGCCGGCGGGGATCGAACCCGGGTTACTCGCGTTCTGTTATATTTACAGCGAGCGTTAACCACTGAGCTACCACAGCTCATCTATATATATATCTATCTATCTATCTATCTATATATATATATATATATATATATATATATATATATATATATATATATCAGAGATCTATATATATAGGTAATATTTTTTTATTGGATAGGGTGACAAAGGAGCACACAGTCCACCTGATGGTAAGTGATTGCTGTGGCCTATAGACATCTACATCTATCCTCGATTACGAATCAAGATGCAGATGCGTTTGTCACCCGTGAGGACTAAGATGAAATGCCTCGATTCCAGTAAAACGGGTCTCCGGTTCTCTACACTCACCATACGAAACACAGCAACATTAAGCTGCTATTTTACGATGGTATTCTGTGAGAGCGTGGTCTTTCCCCAGTCGAGCCGACCCATTCATGCTACAACCATAATATAACTGCATCGTGGCTCTACCACGTATAAAATGCGGTTCAAAATTCCTTCGTTTGTTTGCCTGTTAAGCAGTACAAGCCACGTCTCGAGGCATATTTTGCGCAGGCGATCGTGATGAGTCCACGATTAAGTTCGTGGAGCACTTATTTTTCAAGCTTTTTTGCCTTACTAATTTGACGCAAATGGACCAATATTGTTATGATGTCCAATATTGTTATGACGTCGAAAGCTACTGCTAATTCAATCTTCCACAATCGCCATTAATTTGTCGTTGTCGATCGAAGTATCCGGACGACCATGAGGATAATTTTTTGTTCATTGGTGCGTTCGTTTGTAGTATTGGCTACGAAAACGTTGTTGATGTTGCGTGCCGCTTGTGCCGCGTTGCTGCCAGGGCGGTACTCATATTCCGTAATTACACGAATTTTTAACGTATCCATGAAGACGAAAATTATTTAAAAGTGATGCGATCATAACGCTAATCAATAAACAAATAAATAATTTTGAAAAAAGAATTTCATGTTTTTAAAATAAAATTAATTTGAAATTAGAATTCTTAGTCAAACGAAAATTATATTGATTTGAAATGGCCAGTACTGCAGAACGGCAACTTCATAGGTAAAGACTTATTATTATTGTTGTATTTAGATCCTGATGTTTGTGAGTATGAATTAACACTCAAATATCTATAGAGTCATTGCAGCACTTTTTAACTTTTTATAACTTCTGTAAATTTACTTAAATGTAGTTACTGCGAAAAACAAATCTATTTTATAAAAATAGAACATATTGACAAGGGTCGTGTAAAGCCAGAAACATAAATCATAGTAATTGGTTTGCAAAAAAAGCATAAATCTAAATTGATAATTAAATGTGAACTTTACAGAGATTCCATAATTAAAATATGTTAAGTTTATATCAAATGAAACAGCTATTATATTTCATCTTTGTTTTAGGTTTTGGTAATTTTATTCATCATCATCATTATAGCCCTTCGCAAGTCCACTGCTGAGTTTCCCCCAAATAATGCAACAAAGCACGTTCCTGAGCCACCTGAATCCATCGACATTGTGCATGTCTTACCAGGTTGTCGCTACATCTAGTGAGGAGCCGCCCCACACTTCGCCTACCGGTATGAGGCTGCCACTTGAGAACCTTGCTTCCCCATCGGTTGTCGGTTCTTCGAGCTATATGGCCGGCCCACTCCCACATCAGCTCACTAATCCATTGGGCAATATCGGTTACTTGGGTTCTACTACCGAATAACCTCATATCTAAGTTTATCACGCGGAGAAACCCTGAGCATAACCCTTTCTATATCATTGAGCGATAGCAGTGAAGGACCACGTCTCAGATCTATAAATCATCTCTGGCAACACGCACGATAATTTAATTAAAACAATAAAAATGCAACTTACAAAAACGTTGACAACTGCTGTGGCACCACAAGCAGATGTGCCTATTTGTGTGACCTGCCGCTCGCAAGCTTCACGTTCTGACCAAACCATGCACCGTGGAGGTTGCACATATCCACTATCACATTCATTACTAGATGATGCACCATGTTCTTGATTCTGTGATTAACATAAAAAAATTACAATGTATAAATTGAAAGACTGCTACTATATTCTGAACAATGGTTGCATTTGCAATTACTAAAGATTTAGCAAAGTAACACTTTTGCCATACTGAATATACGTCTTGTTTATTTTTTTATAGAATAAATAAGGGTTTAATGTTAAGCCAATGCTGTAGTGTGTACCACCTACTATATCTATGTCCTTACTAAGAATCAATATGCAGACTGCGTTGTCACCCCGAAAGACTAAAATGCAATGCCTCACTATCAGTAAAAAGTGTGTCCAGATCTCCACTCTCACCATACAAGACACAGCAGCAATATGCTGTTTTTAACCCTAGCATTCTAAAAGAGCTCTTCCCTGGATGAGCCAACCTATTATCTGTGCTGCAGCCAGTTATAGAGCTACTCTGAGTAGCTTAAAGACATTCTGAAACTAGAAATTGTTGAATATACATGCAACTTCTTTAAAATATATACTTACTACAATAACTTATTTTTAAATGTTGCAAATGTCGTATATAATATTTTGCAATATTTAAAAAAATGTTAAAAAGGAGTTATATCATAGACAAAAGTCTTTTTTAGGCCGAATGACCGTATGTTTATCGTATGATAATATTTTTATTTAACGTCTTTTTATTTAACACGGGGTTACCACTAATACAAATAAGTACGAAATTCGAGCGACCAAAATATAAAATATACCCAAAACAGCAGGGACTGGCTGAAAACCAGTGCTAAGTATAATGCCCAGCGAATACTGAGCCTGTCCCCGTTAATTCACTTTAAGCTCGTATATTTAGTAATAATAGTTAATTTGTTAATTGTAAATGTTCATTTTTTTATTAACTTCCCAGTGGGAAATTATTATAATGGGTCCGATTTTGCAAACTGGAAATTTTAACATATCTCCACGTTTCAAGGTCTTTAGAGTCGAATAGTATGGTTTTTAAGAGGATATCCATGTGTGCACATGTACGTACGTATGTATGTTCGGATTCAATTTTCGCCTCGTGTATATCAATAACAAAGAGTGATATTATTTTATCACCCTTCGTCACCCTTATTCTATAAAAAAAGTTACAATTTTTTAATGAATAAGGGTGACAAATAGGCACACAGTCCAACTGATGGTAAATGGATGCTGTGGCCCATAGACATCTACATTTATCCTCGATTAAGAATCAAAATGCGTTGTCACCCCTGAGGACCTTAGTCCCTTAGTCTTAGACCTTAGTCATCTTAATGAAATGCCTCGTTTCCGGTAAAAAAGTGTATCCGTACCTCTACACTCACCATACTAATTGATATTCTGTGAGAGTGTGGTCTACCCCAGTCGACCAGACCTATTTGTGCTACAACCTTAATATAGCTGCAGCATGGCTCTACCACATATAAAAATTTACTACTTAGTTCTCTAATTATCTCATAAATATGATCTATTTTCATTAACTAATTCAAACAAGAGTAGCTGCTTTAGTACTTGAGTTAATTAACTTCTTTATTTTCTTTAGAATATTTTATATGTATTAATTACTTACAATATTAGCATCATCGTGACTCTCCACATCAGAACAAGTCTTTTCAATCATTAACCTCTTTGCCATAGTGATGTGATATAATGCTGATGATAAATTGGTTGAATCAAACGCTGGTCTTTCACCTTGATTTATTTGGAATGTATGTGGCCCATCTTGCTGTTCCTCTTCATCTGAAAAATTATCATTTATAATAAGAGAAGTTCCCTTCTTTAAACAGAACTTTAGAAAAAAAAATCGATTATATTCGGTGTAGTGAAGAATCCATGTTCATAATCTACATGCAAAATACAAAGATCAATAATCAAATACTTAGACAAGAAAACTGGATTTAAAGTTTCCCTAGGACTTTATCTTTATATATACAGGATTATTTTTCAAAAAATACAACTTTAAATATATAAATAATGATATACCATTATTGCAAATTTTAAAATATGAGTAGATAAGGCTTTTCTTTTATTTGAAATTATCTCAAATTGAATGTGACTTATGGCCAACAACGTTTTTGCCTACTGATTGACTCTTACGAATGTCTGCGTGTGCAGTAAAATTACTTAAAATAACACATTACCCACGCATTTTGAATTTAAAAGATAAATAGGACAGAATGTTAGAAATTTTTTTTTATTAATTTTTCTTTAACATTTGCCTATATTACTTATTTTGAAGCTTCTCTGCGAATTTGGTCGGTTATTGCAAAATAACCATCTATAATTCTTCTGTGTGTTTGTCATGAACTCCTAAACGGCTGGACCGATTTTGATAAAAATTTTGTGAGATTTCTTGCATGAATGGATGCTTGTACTCTTGCATGCATCAAATTTTGCCATGCAAACTGTTTTTCTTTTGTTTTTTTTTTTATTCATAACTTGCCTCTAGACTTTCCTTTGGCATTTCTTCACTGCTCACAGGATGCTCTTTTCAAAATGCCAATAAAATAAAAGTCTGGTAATAGATTTTTTTTTTTGCATTGAAATACAAACTGGATGATAGACATGAGAAGGATACAAAACGAAAAGTGTATCCAGGACAGAAAGTAAATTGGGCTCCTCAATCTATAGAGGGAAGCGAGGATGTGTCAAAAATGACATATATGGCAATTTACAACTTTAATGTATAGTTGTATAAGTTGAGTGTGGCAGAAGAAGCATGAGGGTAGAATTAATGCTGGGGGTGATTCTGAATGATAAAGTGAAAAATTGTGTGATATATAAGAAAAATATGATTTGCAAGATGTTGTGATCAGAATTAAGAAACAAACGCTTTGGAGGTTTGGCCATGTAGAAAGAATGAATGAGGACAGTGTGACAAAAAAATTTATGCTGTAGAAGCGAGTGGCAGAGTCGGCAAGGGATGCACTAGATAGGAGTCTTCCAACCAAACTATCAAGTATATAAGTATTGAAGACTAGCAACCCACCCGGCTTTGTTTGAGTACATTTATAAATTTTTCGATTTAAAAAAAATGTCTCTCAGATAATAAAATATAGCACAGACCACTCCTTAATCTGTTTATCAAATTTCATTACAATTGTTTCAGCCATTTTTATGATATTAGCCTGTACAGACAGAAAAACAAAAATTTTAAAATGAATATTCATGTCTCAATTGCATAGTTGTGCAAACAACCCTCGGAGCTTACAAGAAGCCAATTATTTTAATATTATAGACATATATATTTCAGCCCATTTTCACTTCAGCTTGCAAATACGAAAGCCTATGTCGGTAATCTTGGTTCTCTGGCATATTTATTCCTTATGAATCTTATTTATCATGGAAACTCCGAGTAAAGTTCTTTCCATCGCTCCCTGGGCAGACAGGAGGACTTTAGGACTACTCCATAAACTCATATGTATAGATGGGCATATATGTACACATATATTGTGAAAGAAGAGACAGATGTGTGTCAGGATTGTACCAAATGGAAGTCCATTATTCTCTTCTTACCCCTCTGGTTATAATTATATTTATAGCCCATACAGATAAAGAATGGGATTAAAAATTGTGGCTCATCGAGCCCATACCATCAACATGCACAGTACCAATATTGAAAACCTACCAATAATGGTATATCGTTTTAATGTTATATTATTCGGTTAATTGGGAATTTTCTATTAATGGCTAAATATTTATAAATAATTGTATACGGAAGTAGGTACATTAATTTCAAAATAACATTTATTACTAGCGAGCACAGATAGTAAAAAAAACTGTAATTTCATTATAATATTGTATGTGTATATTATTATCATAATATGTGCTAATTTACTTTTAGATTATCTACCTTCTTGAAACATAAACCCTAAAACTAAAAAAAGGTAAGTGAATATGTATTATTAAATATACATTTACATAATATGGGACATATTTTCTCTGTATTTATTTCTTACACTAAAAAGAAATGGAAAACAGATTTATTTTTCATTTATAGTTAATGGTATCACAGAACACAACCAAATTTAGAACACATTCTTAACAGACAAAGTATTGAGAGCAGACAATAAAAACTATAGAGCGAATTACCAAAATTGATACTTTAACTACAGAACACTAATTGCAACTTAAAACCTCACTAATAACCAAACACTATTGACTACTGATCACTCTAGTTCACTTTGAGGTATTAGTTTGTATCGCCAATTCAATACTGACTTGGGGACTCAGGTCACGGTCTATACAGGCCTTATATAGGGCCTCAGATAATTCCAGAACCTTTTACTGTAGAAACATCTAGAATTTACGAGTACATACCGGTCCTGCCTGACTAGGTGTCGATAGTTCTAGAAAGTTCTTCCATGGAAATTTCTAGAAGCATCTTGACTCTCCTAGTTCTGCTACTCGATACCAGAAGGCGCTAGTGGTAACTAATGTCGCCATATATAAGGCATTAAATGTGACGAACATATTGTTTAGGAAAGGGCAAATTTTATTTAATACAAGGCGCAGGATCTGTCTCACATGGATCAACTTCAACTCTGGGCCGGGTCTCCCCAGTGCCCGCTCCTTCCATTTGACTGCGGCCAGCACAGAGCAGTTCAAATTATCGGCAACTGAACTTTTTTCTGATAGCCTTGACTCTCTGGCACTGTGAAGAAATGTTGCATTTTTTTGCATATTTTATCACACGTGCCTCTGGGAGTGCTATGAGGAATAGTTGGGATTAATTCCAGCCACTCAATTCCATCATAAACATACATCACAACAAAACTTGCAATACCATCCATATCATATGAATGATTGACCGTCAACCACTGAGCCATTTACAAGAAGTTTTTTACTTGCACAACTTTCTTGGTAATTGACTACTGCCAGCAGTTTTCCAGACTGATAAGAAAAGGCCCTAATCTTTTTATAAAAACCAGCAACGCATCTGTAATTTCCCTGGTGTTGCAGCTGTTCATAAGCGACATTCAACACTTACCATCAGGTGAACCGCATGCTTGTTTGCCCCTTTTTGAATAAAAAAAACTACTAATATTAGTGTAGGTTTTATTAATAAATATGTTATTTTACTCACAGTTCAATACCTCCCTTGGAGACACCAAATCTCCATTTGACACATGTAGGCTAGAAGAGGAAATACTTGGCAAACTAGACATTGTCCGTTTCACTAAAAACTGTTCACCTCTAAAATTTGTGTGTGTAATATATGGCCCATATGCTTGGTGAGTTGAAACTTCTTCTTGAATGTTACTTTGGGACATATCTAAAGCATGACTTGTTGATGGCACATTAAAATAATGTGGTTCTGGATCATTAAGGTTAGCTGAACTAGTCGACACAGAAGGTTGAGAATTATGCATCACTCCAGGTAAATACTCGGGTGTTGTTCCCCTAATAGCTGGTTCATTCTCTTCAGGCATACAATTGCCAGCATCCAAATCTGCATCAGGAGTTGATTCATCACCAGTATCAACCTCACAAGAAGGCCCTGGATCAAAATCCATTTCTAAAAAGTCCATATCAGGACTTGATGCTCTTGAGCCTTGTTCCCTAGCATTAGGTGCTCCCTGCTGAGCAACTGGATAGTTAGGAAGTAATGGCAAATGTCTATCTAATGGCAATCCCATATCAAGACTAAAAAATGAGCTTGGCAGATCTGCCAAATGCTCACCACCTCTATATGTGTAAATACAACCATCTTCTGAACCCAATGAATAATCATCATTTCCAGTATCACTGGAACTATCATCAGCATCAATGTTTGGTCTACTTATTTTAAGTGTAGATGGCCTTTTCCTGTTTTCCTTAAAACCAGTGCTTTCAGCATTTTCAAAGGATTTACTTGTACCACTTGTTGAAGGACCATTATTAACAATGATGTTACTAGTTCCATTTCCCACTTTATCTAAACACAGTTTGTTGTTTTGACATGTATTTTGGTCTTCATTAACATCTAAACCATTTTCACATTCTTTTGATTCCACTTTACTAGTACTAGGTATATCAACATCATGGAATTTCTTGCTGGATATATTATTTATTAACTTTTGATTATCACCACTTGCAATACCAATACTGTCATTCTGTGAATAATTATCATTTAGTCGATATTTTTTTCCTTCACAATCATCGTTCTGTGATGACTCAAAACATATTGTTTGAGATCCATTTACATCTGGAACAAAACTACTTTGATGTGACATTGATGTAAACACATTATCAGCTACGTCACTTTGGTCCCTTGGCTTAGAAATACCTTTGATATCCTTACTTGTTTCTTTTTCTAGTTCTAGTGCAATATTTTTTTTAACAGATTTAGCCTCTTCAAATGAATCCATTATTACAAATATAGTAACTTTTTAATCGTCGGCATTGTACTTGTTTAAGGTTAACAATTATGTTTGAATAACTTAAATAACAGACATGAAATTATTATGGTATACTGTGTAAATAATCAGCACGACAACTTTACTCATAAAGAACTTTCAGCATTTTAATAGGTATTACATTTATTTTTATTGAATAATAACAAACCCATAACCCATAAACATAGAGTAGTTTAATACAAATACAGATAACTTCTAGTTCATAGAACACTATATACTAGTCTACGATTCTAGAGAGAAACACACTACGTTAGTACTCTTATTAGTTTGTGGAAACACACACAGGTTGAAAATTCTACAGAGTAGCCACGGCCAAAAGTAGCCTGTGACTAGCACATAGTATAGTACCTTTATATTATATAGTGTATTACTAACTTAAACTTAAATGATTATGAATAGTGTTTTTTGAATTAAGACCATTAGTACCCGGATGACCGAGCTTTGCTGTTTTTTTTTTTATTGCATACTGATGAAACTATAAATACAGAATATTTATTTATAAAATGAGTGCAGTTTTTTTTTAGATTTTGCCGAATTGAAAATCACGGACAAAAGTGCCCGACCGACATATATTTGTCTAAATCCATTTTTATTGCCTCAAATCAGGATAGCTAGATCGATTTATTGTCTCCGAAACTCCCTAGACACTAAATTTTATGAAAATTGTTGGATTTTTTTTTTTTTTTTATATATATATATATATAGATATCGATACATAGATATGTAGTAGTTGAACGTGTACCTACATTGACTGCCGGCGGAATGTTGCTCCTATTTTATTGTTTTCTATGTTATTTTATTGTATTAACGTCAATGGCGAGTACCTCACTCTCCTTCAATTTTCCGACAATATAATCCTCACGGCAGAATCGCTGGAGGACCTAATCACTATACTCAGTGACCTTAATATTGTCTCACAACGGATAGGTCTTAATATGAACATGGACAAAACGAAAATCGTGTATAATGTCCATGTCACACCTCACACCTGTGCCTGTTGGTGTTGGGAGCACTAAGCTCGAAGTTTTTGACGAGTATGTTTACCGGGGACAAGTAGTCTCTCTAGGTAAGTCCAACTTCGACCGAGATCTCAACTCGGCTGAGCAGCGTTCGGGAGATTGCGACACATCTTTTCGTCAGGCATACCTCAAAATTTCAAAACTATATTGTACAACCAATGCGTGTTGCATGTGATGACTTTTGGATCTGACACCTGGTCCTTCACTGCCGGCCGGATGAGGAAGCTCAAATTCGCTTAGCGAACTATGTAGAGGGCTACACTCAGAGTTTCTCTGCGTGATAAACTTAGGAATTAGGTTATCCGCAGTAGAACCAGAGTAACCGACGTAGCCCAACGGATTAGTAAGCTGAAGCGGCAATGTGCCGGCCACATAGCTCGAAGAACCGATAACCGATCGGGAAAAAAGGTACTCGAGTGGCAGCCTCGTACCAGTAAGCGAAGTGTAGGGCGTTGCCCCACCACTAGATGGAGTGAAGACCTGGTAAGACACACAGGAAGTCGGTGAATGCAGGTGGCTCAGGACCGTGTTTTGTGGCATTCCTTGGGGGAGGCCTATATTCAACAGTCGACTTGTGAAGGACTGTAATGGTGATGACGATTTTATTAATTATTGGTTTGAAGGAAATGTAATTATTGATTTGAAGAACTGCTGCTTAAGGAAAGGGATGATAATTAAAAGGAAATAGTTAGCATAATTGCCAAAAATACACAATTAAAATGTGATATGATTAAGTAACACACTGATTACACTAGCGTTATAAAAGAAAGGGATCAGCTACAGGGAACGGTTAATGTGTTTGATCAATGCAGTAAGTAAAATGAGGAAGCTCTTATATTTATTCCTGCATTGAAGTTATAGTTGAATGAGGCTAATGAGCAAATAGCACAACTTAAAACATACATAGATAACCTAAAAGCCTCCCCGACTCAAGGCCTGTTCCCTAGCTTTAGCTTGTGTGATGTAATTCCTCTAAAATATTACAGCAATCTGCAACAATAGATATAGACATTGACAGGTGACAGCGCTTCCACTTCAAGAAAAACTGTAAGGATTAATTGCAGTAAAACCAAATTGAAGAAATATATTGTTGGAATATGAATGAATATACTTTATTGTACACCACAAACAAATTTACAATGAACATAACAGAGAGCAGATTACATGTACAATTTGGCGGCCTTATCGCTACATAGCGATCTCTTCCGGGCAACCAAAGGTGTAAAGGAATAAAACAGTGAATACTAGGTAGGTGGTGCAATATAAATATACCTAATATAATATCAATACATGCAATAAAATAACATATAAATAACTAATACATTAAAAAATATGATACACATATACATACGTATATACATAAACATACACACACACACACACACACATACACACGTATATATATATATATATATATATATTTTTGTGATATAAGAAGTCGCTTAAAGACTATAAAGACTACAATAGTTTGTGCTTCGCGTATATACAAAGGTAGGACACCACCAGCCACCACACAGCTTAATAGACTGGACAGTAAAAGATTTATTAAAGAAAGATGTATTGTGAGTTGGTACCCTTAAAATGAGTTTTCTTGAAGAGCGTAGAGGTTCCACTGGAAGCCCAACAAAACTAAACTTCTCCTTTAGATAAGGAGGAGTAGAAGGGTGAAATAAGACATGGTACAGAATAGAAAGAATATGCATGTTCCGGCGAAATTGGATAGGTAACCACTTGAGTCGTGAGCGAAATTAGGAAATATGGTCAAATTTGCGCAATCCAAATGTGAACCGAATACTAGTATTTTGAAGTCTCTCAAGATTAGTTAGCTAGTCTTTAGTTATGTCTACATAGCTTGCGTTAGCATAGTCGAGAATCGGAAGGAGAAGAGACTGTGCGAGCATAATTTTTGTAGGAATGGGAAGAAATGATCGAAGGCGACGCAGTGAACTAAGAGCGACAAAGGTTTTCTTACTTACCTCATTCAGTTGGTGTTTCCAATTTAAGGAACTATCAAGGTAAACACCAAGATTTTTGACATTGTCAAAGTAAGGGATTACAACCCCATCGAATACAATAGGTGGTATGGAGAACCAGTCAATTCTTGAGATAAAGCTCTGACTACCAAAAATGATAGCCTGTGACTTTTTAGGATTGACATTTAGGCCATATGATTGACTCCACTCACGAATCATATTTAAGTCATTGTTTAATGTAGCGATTGCATTAGGTAAATTCTCAAGAGTTGACTGGGTGTAAATCTTTACATCATCCGCATACATGTGGTAGAGAGAAGAAATGTTATGAGTAATTGAATTAGTGAAAATGGAAAAGAGTAAAGGTGACAACACGCCACCCTGCGGAACGCCTGCAGTAATATCACACCAAGATGAGTGAGTTTCATCAACATGAATACACTGCCGACGGTCACAGAGATAACTTTGAAACCAGTCAATTACTGATGGAGATATGTTAAGGGAATACAACTGACTCAACATTATTGAACGCACTAGCAAGGTCATGACTGTGAGTTGTTTATTATCCACACCCCACCGTATTTCATCAGTAACTTTAATTAAGGCAGTAGTCGTACTATGACCAGGACGGAAACCGGATTGTAAAGAATTCAAGAAATTGTGCTTATTAAGGAAAAGAGTCAGCTGTTGGCAAATAAGTTTTTCAAGGACTTTAGAAAGGAAAGGTAAAATCGAAATGGGACGGAAATCAGTGAGGTTGACGGAATTAGATTTCTTCGGAAGGGGTATAGCATAAGCACTCTTCCACGCTTGAGGGAATTTAGAGGAAGATACACATGCATTAAGCAAATGAGTGATAATGGGAGTGATAACATCAAGGAGAGGAACGATCATATTACGGCTAATGCTGTCGCTACCGACAGCATTTGAGGAGATGGATAATATGATCTTCTTAATATCACATACAGTAAATTGACTAAAAACGAACGGAGAGAGACTTACACAAAGAGAACGAAGTTTTTGCAGTTTATGTTCACTATCAAAAGAGTTAGAAGGATTAGAAAAATGTTGATTTAATAGTTCAACATCAACACTGGAAGGTGAAGCATTAAGAGAGGTTCCACCAACTCCAACTGTTTTAAGAAACTTCCACACCCTAGATGAGTCGCCGTTCTGTATAGCACAATGTGTTGCAGCGATTCCGGATTTTAGTGTATTTTCTAAGGTTTTCCTCTGTTTTGTTCCTCTTAAGCTTTGAAAATGCCGCATTCTTTTTCAAAATTAGACTTTTCAGATCATCAGAGAGCCATGGAGCAGGTAAGTGCTTGAGTTTAATACGATGCATTGGCGCGTGTACGTCATATAGCTGAGTGAGAAGGTAATTGAAAAGTTCCACTTTATCGTCAATGCATGGTGCTCTCTTAATCACTGACCAGTCAATATTATGAGCATCTTCGCAAAGTTGGCCAATATCCATTCCTCCAAAATTACGTCGCAGAACTAATTTAGGTTTGATTTTAGGAGGGCTAAGCTTATACAAAAGGAAAAGTAAATCATGATAAGAGAATTCATCAGCAGGACACAGTCCGTGCTTGAAAACTAGGTGTGAAGATGACACTATAATTAAGTCAAGAAGGGAAGGAGTACAGTTAGGATATTTGTGAGTAGCAGCAAGGGTAGGATTTGCATATTACACGCTTCAATTATAGACTCAAGTTTTATAGCCCGATTGTCGCCTTTAAGTAAACAAGTGTTAAAGTCACCCATCAAAATAGTATGACTACGAGTATATGTAGGGACTAGTGATTCTAAAAGAGATTCAAAAGAAGTAAAATAGTTTATAGAAAGAGAGGGACTGTAGAGAACTCCAAGTAGGATTTTATTCTGAGACAGGGAGACCTCAACTAGCAAATGCTCAGCAGAATCAACAGGAGGCGGTTGACATGACGAACTAACAATT